TCAGCTAAAAATATCTTTGCACCGATGCCAATAGTGCTTTAGGCCAGCCTAAGGACAGAATCTTGAACCGCATAGAACATTGAAGGTGGTCTAAAACCGCTTTATGACGCAAATGTAAGTTCAGGCTAGCCTTCACAATGAATCGCCAAGGCCAGAGAAAATTTGAAAATAAAGAAAGTATTAACCATCTAAAAGTGGGCACATTTTTGACACCTGTATAACAAATTCCTACCATGAATAATCTACAGATTTCTTCCCGTTCCATGTTATAATTTTCCCAAGATCTTCAGAATGCTCTACTCCGTCGCTGATCTCGTACACACCATCAGCGGTGTTGTTGGACTTGAAAAGGAGCGTAAAGGTAGAAGGAATTTGGTATTTAAGGCAATTCGAGCTGTTGACAAAACTTACCTCAAAGAACATTCCAATTCTTTCAGGAAGATCAAGAATAGAATCGCATACAAAATTCATGAAGGGAATTTCGCACACCTATACAATTAAGTATGCAGGAAAAAATGATTTAGAATGGCATAGAAATGTTTAATATTTTGTACCGTCAGAGCACAAATATGCTGACCTTGTCAAGAAACGGATCTTTGTAGCCTTCGAACAAAAACTCTCCAACTTCTACTTCTAGGAAGGCTGTCTGCGATAACAAGGTTGTGGCGGCGGCTCGCATTCCAGTTGTTGACGCTGCTTCAACGAATTTCTTAAGAAAGACTTTATGCACAAAATGTCTCAAAAAATGTATATGTGTCTTGTAAGCTAAAACTACTTCACTATCCCAAACATATAAAAAGGCTGACATTGCAATAACATCAGCTAATGCCTCGGCTTGATTTCTCTCACAATCGTACGTATTATAACAAAAAAAATTCTACTAATCTGCATTGAAATTTTTGATGCTAAATAGCATCTAAGACAAATTTTTTAATATTTATTGCCATGCAAAAAGTAATTACAGCAACTGTTACCATCTACACGGTTATATTCGCTTCTCAGATGCTTCGTGCTAGTCGGAAATGCCAGGGATACACAAAAGGACATTAGTTTTCGCTAAGCATTTCTGGTCTCCATAAAGCAAAAATCTAAGGTCATATTCTAAGCGAAGTCAAATGTGTGGTGCAGCGCAAATAACTAATTATCATGTAATGTAAATTAGGAACAAAACAATCCAAACGGAAATTCCTTTTGAGTGTTCCTCAAGACCACTCTTATTACTGTGCTCCTCTTTTACCGGAAAGAAGTAGACTGATAGAAGAACTCTGTTTGTTTGACTCTGTTACTCTAGCA